CGGGCTGTTTTTCAGGTCATTTAAGCCATTTTTGGGTTGTTTTTAGGGTGGTTTAGGGATCATTTTCAGGCCATTTATAGGCCGTTTTCTGGGCCATTTTCAGACTGTTTTTAGGTTGTTTTCAGGCCATTTTTCCGGGGTTTTTTCCACGCCATTTTCCAGGCTGTCTTTAGGCTGTTTTTAGGCCATTTTTCCGGGCTGTTTTTAGGTTGTTTTCAGATCATTTTTAGGCTGGGTTTGAGGGCATTTTTGGCGCCATTTTGAGGCTTTTTTGTGACCATTTTTCAGGCTGTTTTCTGAGGTGTTTTTAGGCTGTTTTTGGGCCGTTTTCAGTCCATTTTTCTGGGTTGTTTTCCAGGCCATTTCCTAGGCTTTTTGGCTGTATTCATGCCATTTTCCAGATTGTTTTCCAAGCTGTTTTTAGGTCAGGTTTTGAGGCATTTTGGGGGCCATTTTCAGGCTGTTTTTAGGCTGTTTTCAGGCCATTTGTCCGGGCCGTTTTTAGGTTGTTTTCAGGTCGTTTTTAGGCCGGGGTTGAGGGCATTTTTGGCACCATTTTGAGGCCTTTTTTGTGACCATTTTTCAGGCTGTTTTCTGGGGTGTTTTCATGCTGTTTTCCAGGCCATTTTTCCGAGCTGTTTTTAGATCATTTTCCAGGCTGTTTTAGGCCACTTTTAGGCTGGTTTTGGGGCCATTTCCAGGCTGTTTTTCGGGCCAAAAATGGCCTGAAAACAGCCAAAAATACAGGCATGCACACACCGGTCAGCTGATCTTTGGGTTTCCGGCGCTCCAGTATACGCACATGCAGGCGTCTTCTGGTTTGGGCCCTCAGTGCCAAAAAGGTTCGCCATCCCTGTCCTAAATCCTCAACTTACAAGCTCTTGATTAACGCCGATTCAAAGTTGCAACAATGCAGATAGTTCTCGACTCTCAGCGGTTCGTTCAGACCTGAGCAGTATTTTTTCCCCAAGCTGCTCGCCGTGTGCCAATCTCTCTCCCCTTCCCTTCGGGCCACGCAGGAGACTGTGGCCGCCAGTACGAGGGCTCCAGCCACCCTTACAGACTCGTGCAGGATTCGCCCTCGCCACAGCAACCGCCGTCCCAGCAGCCCCAGGCACCCTCCGCACCCCAGACGGCCCCTCCGCCAGTCCAGACTCACCGCGTGATCACCTTGGCTGACCACATCTGTGTAAGTTTGCATTTTGGGGGGGGGGGGTCCATGAAGAGAGAGAGAGACCCATTTGAGGGGGGAGGAGGGGGGCTCTCTGAGCCTGGTGGTTTTCTTGCAGGGCGCTTCATGACCCAAACGAGGTCATGTCAAGAGCGTTAGAAGGGAGGGGGGGTGCCAGGGGTGAGGAAGGAGGAGCAGGTAGAAGAAGAAGAGGAGGGACACAGCAGGGTCCTTGGTGCTCTCTGAGCCTGGAGGTTTTCTTGCAGACGTTTCATGACCCAACTAGGTAACGTCATCAGTGCTAGAAGAATGTGGAGTTTGCTCTCTGTTTATACAGTGTACAACTGGCTGGCCTTGTCAGTGATGGATGTTAGTGTTCTGGATAGTTCCTTAATTAGACTTTTTTAGATGGATGGATGGACGGACGGATGGATGGACAGACAGACAGACATAATAGATAGAGAGATGATAGATAGAAAGATGATAGATAGATGATAGATAGATAGATTAGATAGATAGATAGATAGATAGATAGATAGATAGATAGATAGATAGATAGATGATAGGTATACAGACAGATAGACATAATAGATAGAGAGAGAGAGAGAGANCCACCCCTCTTAAAGCATGCTGGCTGGGGGATTCTGGGAGTGGAAGCCCACCCCTCTCAAAGCATTCTGGCTGGGGGATTCTGGGAGTGGAAGCCCACCCCTCTTAAAGCATTCCGGCTGGGGATTCTGGGAGTGGAAGTCCTTTTCTCTTAAAGCAGGCTGGCTGGGGGATTCTGGGAGTCGAAATTTGTACCGGTTAAAATTCCTAAAGTTGAGAAACCAAATTCTTTGAAACCTACCAGATTAGGAAAAGCACACAGGGTCTGTTCCGGAATCCTGCCGAGTGTCCTGGAATGAAAAGCGGCATAATAGCCTCCTCTTAAATCTCTTTATCATCTTCCTCTCCTCTTCCTCCTCCCCAGTATCCTCGTCTTCGCACCGCTACGAGCCCTCGAGGGACGCGATCGAGGTGATCAGCCCCGCCAACTCCCCTGTCCCCGCTCAGGAGAAGATGCCCCCTTACCAGCAGGAGCCCCCCAAAATGAACCCAGGAGAAAGTAAGTTTTCCTCGGGGGGGGCGGGAGAATTTAGGGCTTTCCCCCCTCCCACTTTGCAAAATCGGGCTGCCCAGATTTAGAACCTAGATATCCCAGGGCTGGAAGGGATCTGAGAGGTCTTCTAGTCCAACCCTCTGCTCCAGACCAGAAACTTTGATACCATCCCAGGCAAATGGTTCCCTGGTGAATTTCTCTGAAGATTTGAGACCAAGCTAGTTCCAAGAAGTGTCATCTCCTTGGTGCAGGGGGGGGGGATGACAACCCTCATCCTAACCCTAAATCCGTGATGGCCAGCCTGTGGCCCTCGTGCCAGAGGTGGCATGCTGAGCCCTCTCTGTGGGCACGAGCAACGTCGCCAGCTGCTCTTCTGGTTTCCGGCGTGCACATGCGCACTGAACAGCTGGTCTTTGCGTGCAGCGGCCTGCCAGAAAACAGCCCCCAAAACAGGCCAGTTTTTTTGGTCGCTTTCAGGCTGTTTTTAAGTTGTTTTTCTGGATGTTTTTGGGCTGTTTTCAGGTCGTTTCTTAGGCTGTTTTGGGGCTGTTTTTAAGCTGTTTTGGGTCATTTTCTGAGCTGTTTTTAGATTACGTTTTGGGATATTTTTCAGGCTGTTTTTTGGGCTGTTTTTCAGGTCATTTTGGGGGCGGTTTTAGGCCATTTTGGGGTTGTTTTTAGGCTAGTTTGGGGGCCATTTTCAAGCCATTTATAGGCCGTTTTCTGGGCCATTTTCAGACTGTTTTTAGGCTGTTTCAGGCCATTTTTCCAGGCCATTTTTCCAGGCCATTTTTAGGTTGTTTTCAGGTCATTTTGAGGGCATTTTGGGGCCACTTTTTAGGCTGTTTTGGGGCCATTTTCAGGCCATTTTTCCGAGCCATTTCTAGATCATTTTCCAGACTGTTTTAGGCCACTTTTGGGCTGGTTTTGGGGCCTTTTACGGGCTGTTTTTCAGGTCATTTAAGCCATTTTTGGGTTGTTTTTAGGGTGGTTTAGGGATCATTTTCAGGCCATTTATAGGCCGTTTTCTGGGCCATTTTCAGACTGTTTTTAGGTTGTTTTCAGGCCATTTTTCCGGGGTTTTTTCCACGCCATTTTCCAGGCTGTCTTTAGGCTGTTTTTAGGCCATTTTTCCGGGCTGTTTTTAGGTTGTTTTCAGATCATTTTTAGGCTGGGTTTGAGGGCATTTTTGGCGCCATTTTGAGGCTTTTTTGTGACCATTTTTCAGGCTGTTTTCTGAGGTGTTTTTAGGCTGTTTTTGGGCCGTTTTCAGTCCATTTTTCTGGGTTGTTTTCCAGGCCATTTCCTAGGCTTTTTGGCTGTATTCATGCCATTTTCCAGATTGTTTTCCAAGCTGTTTTTAGGTCAGGTTTTGAGGCATTTTGGGGGCCATTTTCAGGCTGTTTTTAGGCTGTTTTCAGGCCATTTGTCCGGGCCGTTTTTAGGTTGTTTTCAGGTCGTTTTTAGGCCGGGGTTGAGGGCATTTTTGGCACCATTTTGAGGCCTTTTTTGTGACCATTTTTCAGGCTGTTTTCTGGGGTGTTTTTAGGCTGTTTTCAGGCCATTTGTCCGGGCCGTTTTTAGGTTGTTTTCAGGTCGTTTTTAGGCCGGGGTTGAGGGCATTTTTGGCACCATTTTGAGGCCTTTTTTGTGACCATTTTTCAGGCTGTTTTCTGGGGTGTTTTTAGGCTGTTTTCAGGCCATTTGTCCGGGCCGTTTTTAGGTTGTTTTCAGGTCGTTTTTAGGCCGGGGTTGAGGGCATTTTTGGCACCATTTTGAGGCCTTTTTTGTGACCATTTTTCAGGCTGTTTTCTGGGGTGTTTTTAGGCTGTTTTGGGGGCATTTTTAGGCCGTTTTCCGGGCCATTTCCAGACTGTTTTTAGACCGTTTTCAGTCCATTTTTCCAAGTTGTT